CTGGGGGGATTTACCAGCCGGGCAGCCGAGGTGCTGAGGGCCGGGGTTTGGGGGTGGGATGGCAGGGGTAGGGGAACGGTTGGGCTGGGGGATCTGAAAGGGCTTTGCCAACCCAGACGACTCTATGACCCTGTGATAGCAAGGAAAACTTTGAACAATGGTGGTTGCAGCCCAAACGCTGTGGTATGCTACTGAGAAACAACCATCAAATTGAGCACGCTATTCTCAGGGAAAAGAAGAAGTATTAACCTTTAATAACATCTCCTGTAACGTAACTCTTTTTAAAAGAGCAGAGTTCAAACTTGTAGATGAAGCAGGTGTGTTTCCTTTAAAAGCATGACTGAGCTGACAACTATCCTTGTATGTGTTGTTTTGTTTGGTTGTTTGTTTGGTTTTTTTAATATTATATTATTAAAAGCGGACTGTTTCAGCTTGTCTGAATCATTGTTCATTTGTTTCCCTGGGAGGATTTTGGAGCTGCAGAGCTCAGCAGTCCTTGGCAGCAGGCTCGCCCCACGGATAGCCGTCCTGCAGCGGTGCTGGTGGCTGAGCAGGGCTGGCTGGTTTCAAACCGACGTGGGAGATGGTGCTGTGTTCAGATCGAAAGGAGAGGGCTATGGGTGGTTTTGTGCTGATGGGAAGAAACGACTCCGATGTTACGGATTGGCAAGGAATATTAAGATACATGCATTTGTACTCGGCGAGACAGAGAAAGAAACACTGTGGTTCACTTGAAAGCTGGCTTTGTCAGACTCCCAATGTTACATGTGTTTGGTTTCTTTAAGTTGTATGTTCTGGAGATTAGCCATCTTGTCCTATGCCTGGGCTTGTGTCAGCTGCGTTCCCCAAGTCAGTCAAAATACCTGTTCCATTCTAATTCCACAAGGACTTAGTTGTGTCTGGTTGTGCGTGTAAATGGATGCTGTTTAATACGTTTTCCCATGGCTTTTTAAATTCCTGAAGTTAAAATGATAAGTGTAATGTGAACGATGCTGGAATCGACTCATTAAATGCGCTACATAAAAAAGAAAAAACTCAACACTACTAGCTCTGTGGATGGAAAAGGATAAGAAGAGTATGCGCTTCACTGTTCCATAGTCGTGTCAGCGGTTTGTAAAGGTGCACTATCACCTTAGCTGCAGATGGAAAAATTAAGCTAAAAGACCGTTACTGGCCTGCAACTGCCAAGTGGTACAACTGGAAACAGATTTTTGTGAATCTTGGTGGGCAGTGTGGTAGCGCTGGACCTTCAGGTATGAGCCGTTTCTGAGGAGGACTAGTTAGTCTAGAAGTGTTCTTCTCTCTGTTAGCTCAAAGGCACTTTATCCCAGCTTCCAGTTTTGTAGTTGTATTCCTTGGTGTTAACCTAGCGCTAAATCGATTCTGTGTCTCTAATACAATCATAATTTGGGATCTCTGGCAAGAGCCAATGTAGTTTGGTCTTCAGTTATGCAAAATCTATAAGAATGTTTTCAGATTTAAAGAAATCCTGTAAGTTCTAGGGGATAAATGTGTCTGGCTGGCGGCTGGTGCAGATGTTGGGCATTGCCCCTCGCTTTGCAGTTCTTCTCTGCCGGTGGAGGTGGAGAGAAGCCCATTGCTAGGGCTGATGGGTGAATTCCACGTTAGAAATCAGTCGGGTGCCGTCGTCGATTCAAGCCCTGGAGCTTAGCTTTTGTTTGTGTGAGAATCTCGTGGAACTTTTTTTGATGCTTTGCTTCAGCAGGCTGTAATGTTTTTTCTTTTGGGAGGGGAGAAGCTTTAAAAAAGCCTCAGTAGCTATTGGCCTTTCAGGGTTTGGAAACCTACTCACACAGCACCTTCTGATGTACAGGGGTGCAGCTTTGACCGCAGGCTGCCCGTGTGCATTTTGGCAGGAGCGTTGCAACCGAGGGTGAACGAGATGTGCTATACAGGATGAAGTTTTTGAAGGCCTTCACAGACTGCGGAGGAGAGCCCAGCTAACGCAGGATTGCAGTGGGGAGATGGGGCACAGGGCAGCTGCAGATGACTCGGAAGCAGTTGGACCTTAGCTTCAAGGAGGGGCTGTGGGAGGGTGTGGGAGTACGGGGAGCGGAGCAGGAAGAGCAACCTTCCAGGCCTTGATATGAATGATTCACTTGTGTTAAGAAATGTCTTCTTGTTATCGTCCCAACCCAGATATGAGTACCACTGGGCAGATGGGACCAACATAAAGAAACCAATTAAGTGCTCTGCACCAAAGTACATTGATTACCTGATGACTTGGGTCCAGGATCAGCTGGATGATGAAACGCTATTTCCTTCTAAAATAGGTAAAGTAAACAAGTAAAATTCAACAATGTATTTGGATTACAGTTGTACAGGAATATTTAAGTCTTACAGCATTAAAAGGTGTCCTAAATGACTGACGGGTAGGGCAACTTTAAAAGGTTACATTATATATATATATATATGTGTAAAATGTATATATATATATATGTATAATGGCCCTTTTACCTCTTAAGATAACATTTATATGGTAGTACGTGAACTCTGATCCACTCCTAATCAATGTTTCTCACAATTCCGAATGCAGGAAGTACTGTTTCTATTTAATAACTGACTGTGTTGATCAAAGCTGACGTTCTTTCATTTTGAACAGTGGGCTGGTTCCTTAGAAATAAGGCAGAGGGTCTCAAAACCTTATAACCAGTGATTGGTCCAAACTGGCAGCTTTTTGATGGAGAAAAGCATCAATTGGTCCTTGTGACCAACTTCTCCTAGGCCTTACCTCCAAAGAAGCCAAATTGCATCTTTGATCTTAATGATTTTTTTTTTTCTTTACAAGAGAGGATGGAAGATGAATCTTTTTAAGGGTTTCTTTCAGAAAAGCAGGAGGAAAAAAATGAACCACCACCAGCTCGGAAAGGGTAGCAAGAAGAAAACCCTGCTTCTAGAGGCACGAAGGACTGTATGTTCTAAAGCTCCTGCCTGGCAGTTTTCCAGTACACCACTACTCATAGGCTTACGATCCATTGTGGAAAAAGGAAGGGAGATCCCTTAATTGCTTTTGTTTTGTGCATGGTTTTTGAAGCATTTGACACATTTTCAATAAGCCTCTTCAGAGCAACAAGGCCACTTGTCAGAATCAGGTGGCATTTGTTTTTACTTCTGGTTAGGCAGATCTGCAGAGAAGGTGGTTAGTTTGGGAAGAAGTGACAAAAAGCTTAAATCTTCCCTGCCCGGTAGATGTGAGCATGGTTTCTTCGCATACTGTGGCGTTGGTTTTAGTGTTTCAGGATGGAGTTCAGAGCTGGGGTAGAAGCTCACTCGTAATGGGAGTGATACTAAATAGTTACAGTTTAATATTGAGTTGAAAATACTACACCAGGACTTGAATTTGGTTACAGTTTAATATTAAGTTGAGTTGAAAATACTACACCAGGACTTGAATTTTCTTTAAATGTAGCATATATTTTGCCGAAGACTTTTTTTTTTTTCTTCTCATAGGATGTATTTTTGAAAGGTAGTGATTCAGAAGGAGTCTTAAAGGCCGCAGTGGATAACCAACTAAATATGAGCTTCCCATGCCATGCAGCAGCCAATGAAGGAAATGTGGTGTACGTGTAAGCAGGGCAAGCTTAAGTAGGAGTATGAAAACTACATTGCGAGGGTTTTGAAGCATTGGTGAGATCGTGATTAGGCTCCAGCAACCAGCTCAGGCCTCTGGCCTTCGGACAGGACTTCAGCAATTGGAAAGGCTGCAAAAGACTGGGAAAACTGCTACATGATCAGAAGCTAGACAGGTTTAATCTTTTTAGATGGTTGATACACATCTTTTTATTTTAGCCTGCGGATGTGTCAACTAAGGAGATTTCTGCTCCCAGTAGCCAGTTGCTATTTCCTAACCGATTTTAATAAAAGTTGTGCACTGACAAAGATCTGCTGTTGCAACTGATTTTACCTGTCCTGGGTCATTCACACTGAAATGACTGAAAGGAGCATGTTTCGGAGTGCCTGAGCAGGCAGTTAAGAAAGCAGTAACCTCTGCCTAAGGGATGGTGGTGAGCAGGATGGAAACAGGAGTCTTTTTTTGCTGGGCACGAGACGGGTGGAAGAGAGCCTAGTTCTGATTTCACTTTAGCCAAGAGAAGTGTAGAAGTCGATGGATGATACCAAAGGTGGTCTCAGTTAGCTACACAGAGGTGTCTGATGTCCCTTGGAGTACCCTGTGGTATCTCGGGCACGTGCGCAGAGCCATTGGTGAGACTCTCAGCCTGCAGGAGACTTCCCCTTTTCTGCACTGGCCGTCAGAGGCCAGGCAGGTACTGAGAGGGCATCTATAAGCACGTTAGGTACCTGCGTTTGGGCATCTGAATCCTACTCAAAGGGAGGAAGAGTCTCGGTCAGGGAAGGTTCTTCAGGGAACCGTACTGGGTCATAACAAGATTTAGTAGCTGGAAGCTGAAGCTGGGGGGATTGAGCATAGAAATGTATAGTCAGATTTGTCTTGGAAAAAGCTCACGAGCCACTGGTCTGCTGGAGGGAGGGAAACCTCCCCTCCTTCACTCCTTCAGTGAGCTTGTCTTTGTGCTTTAGCCCAAGTATGTTCCGTGATTTACAGACGGAATTGCTGAGTGAAACGGAACAGCCCTTCTTGTGCAAGAGATGGGGTTGGGTTATAATGGCTTTCAAAAGAGATGAACATGGCATGGGCGTTTAAAAACAAGCCATCTGTTTCTTTGTTTCTAGGTGTTCCGTTCCCAAAGAATTTTATGTCAGTGGCAAAGACAATTTTAAAGCGTCTCTTCAGAGTTTACGCTCACATTTATCACCAGCACTTTGATCCAGTGATCCAGCTACAGGAAGAGGCACACCTTAACACTTCTTTCAAGCACTTTATATTTTTTGTTCAGGTAAGTGTGGCAGGAACATTGTGGTTACAGTTACTATTCTGGAAAAAGTACTTATCAAAGTAATGCCCATTCAGTTTCTTAACAGCCGGTGTGTTTGTAGGAGAGTCAACACCTCCAGGGCCCTAAGGTAGTGTCTTACGTGTATTTACTGCTAGAAGGATTCAAAGAATGGAAAAGTTTTCAATGAAGTATTTGTTTGCTACAAAAGGGAATACTGAAAAGTGTTCCCTACCAAATAATTCAGTAGAACAGTAATTCCTAACAAAAGGAAGAGGGAGGATGGCAACTGAAGCTAGATTGGAAAGAGGGCGCTTGCTTCAAAGCTGCATTCCTTGCTTCCCCTTATTTAAAAAAAAAAAAAAAAAAAAAAAAAGCTTGTCTTATGTTTCCTTCCTTTAAGTGGGGGAAAAAGCTTTAGGGAGCTGAACACTGCGATTTGGCTAATGACAGACAGGCAGAAGATGCTGTCGTGGCTAAGCCTGGACTCGAAGAGCCTACTACCAAGTAATTTCTGTCGGAATAAGACTTCTCACCTGAGCTGCACATCTAAAACTCTGTATGTTTGTCTTTCTTCTCATCCTTGTTACAGGAATTCAACCTTATTGATAGAAGAGAACTTGCACCACTTCAAGAACTGATTGAAAAACTCACCTCTAAGGACAGATAAAAGGAGGAGGATTTCTTGAAGTCACTTGTTCCTTTAAGCAAGCGTGTGGTATTTGTTTTTTGTTGATTTGTTTTTTTAAAAAACACAACAAAACCCCCTGCTGTTACTAATGACAGCCAAGATACACTTTCTGTGCTTTTATTAGGGGAAATCTTTTTATCTGTTAGTGACACATGGTAAATAGCTTTTTTTCCCCCCCCCCCCCCGATTGTTGTTACTCATTGTGGACTTATAGCAGGTGCTGAGTGTTTATAAAGGAAACGTGCTTGATTGGGGGATTGACTCTGCTGGTGGATGGGTTCTTGTATTGTGTCAGTGGTAGCCCATTCTCATGAAGTCCCTACAAAAGACTTGCTTACGTTCTCTAAGTGCCTTGGCAGACTCACTTCTGAGGTGCAAAGCACATACAATACTGAACATTGCTGGAAACAGAAAATACGAACTAACACCCAGGACACTTACTGATACTTCTTTTAGAAAAATATATATATGCTTACACTAAAAAAAGCCATAACTTCCTGAAATCAATGATCTCCAGCTTTTAATACAAATATTTGTCTTATTTTTTTAGGGATTAATAGAGCATTTTTCAAAACTAGATATTTCTTATAAAGAAAAGTGATGGTGAAGTTCTAGTTGCTAAAGCGAAACGCTGAAGGTGGTGTCAAAATGACAAAGAACCCGCGCTTAGCAAGTAGCTACGTGTCTGTTGCCATTGGTTTTGGCTCTTCATAGTTGCTTTTTTATTTTTTTTCTAACAGGGAAGCCTCAACTTGGGTCAGTCACTTTTGTTAAGTTTCCTAGCATTTGCCAAATGAATAGTTAGTTTGCACAAATACCATTAGGGAAAGTGTCCGATATCAAAACATGCACTGGGGTAATAGAAAAATCTGGCTTGAAAAATAACGAGTGAAGTGATGTTGGTAAGTTAGGAGTAAAAAGCCTGGCTCTGTGGAGGATCTCTGGTGGCCAGTGTTCTCTGTAGTAGGAAATTTAATGTTGGAGGGAATATAATGTCCTGGACCACTTGGGATTTATGTTAGCACGATAGTGTTCTCCCCCATTAAAAATTGCAGCCCATCTCCAAGGAACTACAGCAGTTGTGAAGAGTAATAGGAACATACTGGTGAATTTTTAGTGGTTCCTGATGTGGTAAGCGCATCTTCTGTTTGTGAGAAAAACTAATCCAAATGTGGCCTTCCCCTTCCTGGGTTAGTGTCTTTGCCTCCCTTGTGTTTTCTCAAACCAGAAATGAGACTCGCCGGTGAGAAGTTAACCTCTGGGGTGATGCACAGGCGATGACTTGGAAATTCCTGCTGCAGCTGTATCGGTGAGGTTTCCCATAGCAGAAGCCCGTGTGACAAGCTCTCTTGATCACTTAGGATCTTGTCAAAGCCGTTGCGTTTTGGATTCAGAGAAAACTGTATTTAAGTTCTGCTGTGGGCTATCCCATGATATCCCTGGTTGCCAAATGCAGTATGCTAGGCGGTTAATGTTGCCAGGCTTTGCTAGGCTGTGACTGCACAAAACCACCGGTTTTAGACCTGAATAACGTCAGGACCTTAACTGACTGGTGTGTGCTAGACTGACTTGTGAACCTCTAAAATGTACAGGTGAAGCCAAGGTTAGCACGTGATGGAAAAGTTGAGCTTACATTTTTGTTAGTCTTTGCTTGACTGAAAATGCTGAGTGAAGTGGAAAAGACTGTGCAGCAGCCTGCAAAATCCGTAAGTGGCTGTTAGTGCAGGCAGCTAATAAACATCTAAGCACAGTGATAAACATGTACTCATTTGGGAGACTAGAATCACTACTTCTGAGTTAAGATGATGTCTTTCAGGAGCACCTGAAGGTTGTTCGAAAAACTGCATCATCTTCAGTGGAGTTCAATCTCCTAGGCTGCTTAATTTACTTCCCGGAGAAGCAATTTAATGTTTTGTTACCTCTTCTGTGCCCCTCCCCAAACAGACTCAAGAACAATTGAGAAAACCTAGTATTGACCTAGAAACTGGCGTTGTGTGCTTTTTTCACTGCTTCTTATTTAGAAATGGAAACACGGAGTGTTGGGTAGTGAAGAACAGTCCTGCGGTGGCGTTCGTACCGAATTTAGGTTTGGCTACACTGGTGTTGGATAGAGAGGCTGCTTGCAAAACACCTGCAGTTTAGCTTTTGAAATTAAGACAGTCCTTGGTTTTATTTAAAGCTTTGTTAGTGTTCAAGAAAACGTAGAATGTGTTTAGCTCCTTGGCAGATCTGTGTCATTGCCCATTATAGTCTACTGAAAGGACAGGTGAAATTTTCAGTTATCCTGATGTTTGGGCTTCTTTAATGTCATACAGAATTACCAAGTTTTCTTAAGGTGTGGATGTCAAGAGAAATTACTTTTATGTTGTGTTTTTCTTAACATCGAGTGTTGGGATTGGATTGGAGTTACCACAGTCCACGCTGAGGCAAGCTGATGATGCAAAGAGAGCTTTCCCTCAAACATCGCAACAGACTCCTAGTTTAAAGAAGGTGAGGTAGGGTCTTTCCCCTTCTCAGCCAGTAAGGGTCTTGACTCTCCCGTGTGCGTACATGCGTGTGGGAGGGAAAGAGAGGAGATGCTCAATCCCTGCTACCTCCTCAGGGAGCTGGGGGTTGGAAAAATACGCACAAGGCGTAAGAAGACGAGAGGCAAAAGTAGGCAGGAAGCACGAGCGCAATTGCCTTGCCTTTGGGAAGTCGCCTGTGACTGCACTGTTCACCCCCGTGCTTTTGTCAGTCCTGCTCTTCTAGGACATACCTGCTCTGGCAAACGTTGGGTTTCCCCATGCGATCCTGCTGGCCAGGGGAAGAGTCAGCCAGGGCTGTGGCGCCTAAATGCTGCTGGTTGGAGTCGTGTAATGGGCTGATAAGGAAGAAGGAGCTCCCGTGGGCAGAATATCCCATGTGTTGGACTGGGCAAGTGCCATCCTGTTGAACAGCTGGAGAAAAAGCGTTCCTTTGGTATGCGCTATCCTTCTCGTGTGCTGTAGGGCGTGTTTGGCATGGTAGCTGGGAATGCAGTGGTGGTACAGGTGGTGGGCATCATTCGTGATGGCTTTGGAGCTGCAGGATTGCTTTTAACCGAGTGGCACACCCAAGATCTGATCCGGCCGTGGCCACGTAAGCCTGGTTTGGGAGCGGTAGGCTGGCAGTGCTAGCTTTGGGTGCAGGGTCGGAGGGCTCTCTTAGTTCAGGACTGAGTAACGCAGAGGACTGTTGTCTTTTTGGAGTGAGGGGAGCGGTCAGCGTCCACCTGACCACACAAAAGCAGCTGAACTCCCAAATTAGAACTACGCAGTTGTAAACAGACTCCAGTCAAGTAGGAAGCTCAATTTGAGAACATGATCTTACAGCCCTTTGAGGCTATCTGGGGGGTGTTGAATGACCAAAAATTTCCAGCCCCAGAGGCGTGAAGAGCGCTGCAGATGCAGTTTGATATTAAAAATCCTGTCAACTTCCCAGTGCAAACGGCTTTGCTGAGTTGAGTCAGCGCTGCGCGTGCATGTTGGCTGCGCTGGTGGTGCTTCCTGGGGAGGAGCCTCTCAGCCGGCGCTGGAGCTCGTGTTCCCCCATCGCAGCGAGGAGGGAGAGCGAGAATGGCAGGAGCCTGCTCCGAGGTGCTAAGCAGGACATATCCTCCAACAGATTGAAAGCTGTCTCCTTGGCTTGGTGTCACGTACCAGTAAGAAACTCAAAAGAAAAGTACTCAGAAGTGAGGATTTGCTTGGAGTGATGCCAAGCGCAGTAGCTCTCATTTTTGGCGTACTTCTGCTCTGGAAGGTAGGGGGTTTTGCCATTGTTGGGTTGTTTCTTTTTTTTTTTTAAATAGCCAATTTTAGAATTTCAGAGCTATCTGCTGCAGTTCAGCTGATCAGAATTAGAATGTATTATGTAAACAAAAAAATACCAGCCTTAGGTGGATAGCGCATTTTTAGTATTTAGTAACAGGCAGTAGAAAACACTTTGACAGAAAAGTTTCTAGGCATGTAATAAAAGCTTGGAGATCGTGATTTGCCTGACAGCTGTACAAACACATTGTTTAATAAATAACACTTGAAAATAACAACTTTAAAGATCTATATGCAGTGTTGGGGGTTTAGTATCCCTATGCTGTTTATATTTGCAGCTTTTAATTTTTGGTTTTTTTTTTTCTTCAAAAAGATGTGGGACCAGAAGTTGATGTGTGTTTACTCTCCTGACCTAAGGGCACATTGAAATGCTAAACAAAAGTTGCCATGTTGTACAAACGCAATCTGGATGGGGTGAATGTGTTTATAACACAGTGCATTTGTTGGGGGGAAGGGGGACACCCCCTCGACCCCCCTAAATAAAACCCAGAGAAATGAACCCTGCACAAACCCCGCGCTGCTCTAGGCCCACGTTCCAGATGGACGCCGTTATGTGTCACGAGCGCGTTGACGCAAAATCCTTGAGCTTTGTCGTTGGGAGCGGAAGGT